TCCGTCGTGATTTGTGGTGTCAGTAGATATATTTAACAGTCTGTCATGATTTGTGGTGTCTGTCATGATTTGTGATGTCAGTAGATATATGTAACAGTCGGTCGTGATTTATGATGTCAGTAGATATATGTAACAGTCTATCGTGATTTATGGTGTCAGTAGATATATGTAACAGTCTGTCGTGATTTGTGATGTCTGTCATGATTTGTGGTGTCAGTAGATATATGTAATAGTCTGTCGTGATTTGTGATGTCTGTAGATATATGTAACAGTCTGTCGTGATTTGTGATGTCAGTAGATATATGTAACAGTCTGTTGTGATTTGTGGTGTCAGTAGATCTATGTAACAGTCTGTTGTGATTTGTGGTGTCAGTAGATCTATGTAACAGTCCGTCGTGATTTGTGATGTCAGTAGATATATGTAACAGTCTGTCATGATTTGTGATGTCTGTCATGATTTGTGATGTCAGTAGATATATGTAACAGTCGGTCGTGATTTTTGATGTCATTAGATCTATGTAACAGTCTGTCATGATTTGTGATGTCTGTAGATATATGTAACAGTCTGTCATGATTTGTGATGTCTGTAGATATATGTAACAGTCTGTCATGATTTGTGGTGTCAGTAGATATATGTAACAGTCTGTTGTGATTTGTGGTGTCAGTAGATCTATGTAACAGTCCGTCGTGATTTGTGATGTCAGTAGATATATGTAACAGTCGGTCGTGATTTTTGATGTCATTAGATATATGTAACAGTCTGTCATGATTTGTGATGTCTGTCATGATTTGTGATGTCTGTAGATATATGTAACAGTCTGTCGTGATTTGTGGTGTCAGTAGATATATGTAACAGTCTGTTGTGATTTGTGATGTCTGTCGTGATTTTTGATGTCAGTAGATATATGTAACAGTCTGTCATGATTTGTGGTGTCAGTAGATATATGTAACAGTCTGTCGTGATTTGTGATGTCTGTAGATATATGTAACAGTCTGTTGTGATTTGTGATGTCTGTCGTGATTTTTGATGTCAGTAGATATATGTAACAGTCTGTTGTGATTTGTGGTGTCAGTAGATATATGTAACAGTCTGTCATGATTTGTGGTGTCAGTAGATATATGTAACAGTCTGTCGTGATTTGTGATGTCTGTAGATATATGTAACAGTCTGTCATGATTTTTGATGTCAGTAGATATATGTAACAGTCTGTTGTGATTTGTGATGTCAGTAGATATATGTAACAGTCTGTCATGATTTGTGATGTCAGTAGATATATGTAACAGTCTGTCATGATTTTTGATGTCAGTAGATATATGTAACAGTCTGTCGTGATTTGTGGTGTCAGTAGATATATGTAACAGTCTGTCGTGATTTGTGATGTCAGTAGATATATGTAACAGTCTGTCATGATTTTTGATGTCAGTAGATATATGTAACAGTCTGTCATGATTTTTGATGTCAGTAGATATATGTAACAGTCTGTTGTGATTTATGGTGTCAGTAGATATATGTAACAGTCTGTCGTGATTTGTGGTGTCAGTAGATATATGTAACAGTCTGTTGTGATTTGTGATGTCAGTAGATATATGTAACAGTCTGTCGTGATTTGTGATGTCAGTAGATATATGTAACAGTCTGTCATGATTTGTGGTGTCAGTAGATATATGTAACAGTCTGTCATGATTTGTGATGTCTGTCGTGATTTTTGATGTCAGTAGATATATCTAACAGTCTGTCGTGATTTGTGATGTCAGTAGATATATGTAACAGTCTGTTGTGATTTGTGGTGTCAGTAGATCTATGTAACAGTCCGTCATGATTTGTGATGTCTGTAGATCTATGTAACAGTCCGTCGTGATTTGTGGTGTCAGTAGATATATGTAACAGTCCGTCGTGATTTTTGATGTCATTAGATATATGTAACAGGCTGTCATGATTTGTGATGTCAGTAGATATATGTAACAGTCTGTCGTGATTTGTGATGTCTGTCGTGATTTTTGATGTCAGTAGATATATGTAACAGTCTGTCATGATTTGTGGTGTCAGTAGATATATGTAACAGTCTGTCATGATTTGTGATGTCAGTAGATATATGTAACAGTCTGTCGTGATTTGTGATGTCAGTAGATATATGTAACAGTCTGTCATGATTTGTGATGTCAGTAGATATATGTAACAGTCTGTCGTGATTTGTGATGTCTGTCATGATTTGTGATGTCTGTCGTGATTTGTGATGTCAGTAGATATATGTAACAGTCTGTCATGATTTGTGATGTCTGTAGATATATGTAACAGTCTGTCGTGATTTGTGGTGTCAGTAGATAGATGTAACAGTCTGTCGTGATTTGTGATGTCAGTAGATATATGTAACAGCCCGTCGTGATTTGTGGTGTCAGTAGATATATGTAACAGTCTGTTGTGATTTGTGATGTCTGTCGTGATTTGTGATGTCAGTAGATATATGTAACAGTCTGTCGTAATTTGTGATGTCAGTAGATATATGTAACAGTCTGTCGTGATTTGTGGTGTCAGTAGATATATGTAACAGTCTGTCGTGATTTGTGATGTCAGTAGATATATGTAACAGTCTGTCATGATTTGTGATGTCAGTAGATATATGTAACAGTCTGTCGTGATTTGTGATGTCTGTCGTGATTTGTGATGTCAGTAGATATATGTAACAGTCTGTCGTGATTTGTGATGTCTGTCGTGATTTGTGATGTCAGTAGATATATGTAACAGTCTGTCGTGATTTGTGATGTCTGTTGTGATTTGTGGTGTCAGTAGATCTATGTAACAGTCCGTCGTGATTTGTGATGTCTGTAGATATATGTAACAGTCTGTCATGATTTGTGATGTCTGTAGATATATGTAACAGTCTGTCGTGATTTGTGATGTCTGTCATGATTTGTGATGTCAGTAGATATACGTAACAGTCTGTTGTGATTTGTGATGTCAGTAGATCTATGTAACAGTCCGTCGTGATTTGTGATGTCTGTAGATATATGTAACAGTCTGTCATGATTTGTGATGTCTGTAGATATATGTAACAGTCTGTCGTGATTTGTGATGTCTGTCATGATTTGTGATGTCAGTAGATATACGTAACAGTCTGTTGTGATTTGTGATGTCAGTAGATATATGTAACAGTCTGTCGTAATTTGTGATGTCAGTATATCTATGTAACAATCTGTCGTGATTTGTGATGTCAGTAGATAGATGTAACAGTCTGTCGTGATTTGTGATGTCAGTAGATATATGTAACAGCCCGTCGTGATTTGTGGTGTCAGTAGATATATGTAACAGTCTGTTGTGATTTGTGATGTCTGTCGTGATTTGTGATGTCAGTAGATATATGTAACAGTCTGTCGTAATTTGTGATGTCAGTAGATATATGTAACAGTCTGTCGTGATTTGTGATGTCTGTAGATATATGTAACAGTCTGTCATGATTTGTGGTGTCAGTAGATATATCTAACAGTCTGTCGTGATTTGTGATGTCTGTCATGATTTGTGGTGTCAGTAGATATATGTAACAGTCTGTCGTGATTTGTGATGTCTGTCATGATTTGTGGTGTCAGTAGATATATGTAACAGTCTGTCGTGATTTGTGATGTCAGTAGATATATGTAACAGTCTGTCGTGATTTGTGGTGTCAGTAGATATATGTAACAGTCTGTCGTGATTTGTGATGTCTGTCGTGATTTGTGATGTCAGTAGATATATGTAACAGTCTGTCGTGATTTGTGATGTCTGTCGTGATTTGTGATGTCAGTAGATATATGTAACAGTCTGTCATGATTTGTGATGTCAGTAGATATATGTAACAGTCTGTCGTGATTTGTGATGTCAGTAGATCTATGTAACAGTCTGTCATGATTTGTGATGTCAGTAGATATATGTAACAGTCTGTCGTGATTTGTGATGTCTGTCATGATTTGTGATGTCTGTCGTGATTTGTGATGTCAGTAGATATATGTAACAGTCTGTCATGATTTGTGATGTCTGTAGATATATGTAACAGTCTGTAGTGATTTGTGATGTCTGTAGATATATGTAACAGTCTGTCGTGATTTGTGATGTCAGTAGATATATGTAACAGTCTGTCGTGATTTGTGGTGTCAGTAGATAGATGTAACAGTCTGTCATGATTTGTGATGTCAGTAGATATATGTAACAGTCTGTAGTGATTTGTGATGTCAGTAGATATATGTAACAGTCTGTCGTGATTTGTGATGTCAGTAGATATATGTAACAGTCTGTCGTGATTTGTGGTGTCAGTAGATATATGTAATAGTCTGTCGTGATTTGTGATGTCTGTCGTGATTTGTGATGTCTGTCGTGATTTGTGATGTCAGTAGATATATGTAACAGTCTGTCATGATTTGTGATGTCTGTCATGATTTGTGATGTCTGTAGATATATGTAACAGTCTGTCGTGATTTGTGATGTCTGTAGATATATGTAACAGTCTGTCGTGATTTGTGATGTCAGTAGATATATGTAACAGTCTGTCGTGATTTGTGGTGTCTGTAGATATATGTAACAGTCTGTCATGATTTGTGATGTCTGTCATGATTTGTGATGTCAGTAGATATATGTAACAGTCTGTAGTGATTTGTGATGTCTGTAGATATATGTAACAGTCTGTCGTGATTTGTGATGTCAGTAGATATATGTAACAGTCTGTCGTGATTTGTGATGTCAGTAGATATATGTAACAGTCTGTCGTGATGTGAGTATTATAATTACATGTCCCTCCAGGATTAGTCCATCCTTCACTGTCCTTAGGAAACTAATTATAATTATCTGCCCTCTAGGATCAGTCTATACGATTTTGTTTTTGAGACCAACACTAAAGATTTACTGATATTAAGTTGAAGGCTCCAGTCCAAATTTGAACACTTGAGAGAGAGTACTGGTATGGTCTGTTGGTGTGTAGTGCTGTTGACGTTGTTTGTGTTGTTGTACATCTGTGTGAAGTGGAAACCTGACTTACCCGGTACGGTTTCTTGGTGTGTAGTGTTGTTTCCTGTGTTGTTGACATTGTTTGTGGTGTTGTACATCTGTGTGAAGTGGAAACCTGACTTACCCGGTATGGTCTGTTGGTGTGTAGTGTTGTTTCCTGTGTTGGTGTGTAGTGTTGTTTCCTGTGTTGGTGTGTAGTGTTGTTTCCTGTGTTGGTGTGTCGTGTTGTTTCCTGCGTTGTTGACGTTGTTTGTGTTGTTGTACATCTGTGTGAAGTGGAAACCTGACTTACCCGGTACGGTTTGTTGGTGTGTAGTGTTGTTTCCTGTGTTGTTGACGTTGTTTGTGTTGTTGTACATCTGTGTGAAGTGGAAACCTGACTTACCCGGTACGGTCTGTTGGTGTGTAGTGTTGTTTCCTGTGTTGTTGACTTTGTTTGTGTTGTTGTACATCTGTGTGAAGTGGAAACCTGACTTACCCGGCACGGTCTGTTGGTGTGTAGTGTTGTTTCCTGTGTTGTTGACTTTGTTTGTGTTGTTGTACATCTGTGTGAAGTGGAAACCTGACTTACCCGGTATGGTCTGTTGGTGTGTAGTGTTGTTTCCTGTGTTGGTGTGTAGTGTTGTTTCCTGTGTTGGTGTGTAGTGTTGTTTCCTGTGTTGGTGTGTAGTGTTGTTTCCTGTGTTGTTGACGTTGTTTGTGTTGTTGTACATCTGTGTTAAGTGGAAACCTGACTTACCCGGTACAGTTTGTTGGTGTGTAGTGTTGTTTCCTGTGTTGGTGTGTAGTGTTGTTTCCTGTGTTGTTGACGTTGTTTGTGTTGTTGTACATCTGTGTGAAGTGGAAACCTGACTTACCCGGTACAGTTTGTTGGTGTGTAGTGTTGTTTCCTGTGTTGTTGACATTGTTTGTGTTGTTGTACATCTGTGTGAAGTGGAAACCTGACTTACCCGGTACGGTCTGTTGGTGTGTAGTGTTGTTTCCTGTGTTGTTGACATTGTTTGTGTTGTTATTGTCGTTGGTGGCTCCCTCTGTTCCACCACCAAGCAGCGGAGATATATGGTTCAATGATACTTGCTCTATAAACGATGTTCCATACTTCTTGAAATACCACCATTCAAATATCTAGAGGGAAAGAAAATTTTTTTTTAAATTTCAAAACCTCAACTTACCAAATCATGAACACATAGATAAACAATATACTTTTGCTAAAATCTAACAGAGAAATATGGTGTGAAAATTGAATACATAATGTATCAAAACAGATTATGAGTGTTCACATCTTCATCAAAGAAAAAGAATAATATCTAATAATTGCAACTGTATCACATTACCATATTGACTACAATATAATGTAACCTTATGCATAAAACTGTGCATGAGAAAGTAAGGTGACAATGAGAATGGATTATGATGACATAACATGGAAAGAGGCAATTCTAGCTAGAGATAAACACATACTTTACAAAAACATAAATGCTAACCTTTTATATTATCTAATTTTCTCAATGACTGTGAATTCAAAATTGACCAATTAGAGGTGATGATTGTAGTGATATGGTGTGTCACTGTTGATTTTGACATTTACAAATGGAAACAAAAAACGTGTCAATCATGAAGTCCTGAATATTGTATAACTAGAAACAATTCAAACACCACTTGGTAAAACGTAATAATCCTAGAAACCTTTCATTAGTAGGACATGATATAAATCATGTATACTGTAGAATACAGTGGATAAAATAAGCATTGTGATACATGTATACACAGATATATACTATATATATTTTCAGAAACCATCAATACAAAGCAAAAATTGATGAAGAGTGCTTTTTTTTCATAATGGGAAAGGTCAGAGAAAACCTTTCCATCTGGACTATGTTTGAAGGCATCATATATTAATTAAGCGCAAATCAAAATCCAACCTTTTTCTTATTAAAAATATTCACTGGACAATGGCTTACCCAAATTTCAACTTAAAGAAAGTTTTCAAATAAGTTTGACAATATCATTTTCCTGACGTTGACTACCATTAAACAAAGTAGCGCTACGATAGCATGGTATACTGTATTTAATCTGCTACTTGAAATGGTAGTAAATAACAGTAAAAAAAATTCTACTTTCCTCTTTTATTGTTCATTCATCCAAATAACAAAACATGTAAATAACCAATCAGGTCCTCACTTCATGTACACTTCTCTTACAGACCAAGCTTATATAGATCATAGTTTACCGAGTGACAATTAAAACTTCTTTTGACATACTCCTAGAAATGATGTCTGAAGCTAAAGGTCATATTAACATGACATATGAATGAATGAGCGGGAAAAGTCAGCACTGGAAAGTTTTTACCTGTTACAGAAAACATTATACACAGATCTGGTCCAGATTTAACAAATCAGGACAGACAAGGATCCGGCATGAATGTCCTGAACCTTGTCTCAGGACAGACAAGGATCTGGGGGGGGGGGGGACGTCCTGAACCTTGTCTCAGGACAGACAAGGATCTGGGGGGGACGTCCTGAACCTTGTCTCAGGACAGACAAGGATCTGGGGGGAACGTCCTGAACCTTGTATCAGGACAGACAGGGATCAAGCATGGACGTCCTGAACCTTGTATCAGGACAGACAAGGATCTGTGGAGGACGTCCTGAACCTTGTATCAGGACAGACAAGGATCTAGCTAAACAAAGTTTGAACAGCGTTGTTTTCCAGTCAATGAACAGCTAGACAAACATCAATCTAAAGATTTTGTTGAATTTCTCTTTTAAAATATAAATACAAATATTTTAACTTCATTTCAAATTATATCAGCATGAAACTTCATGAAAAATTTTCCACCGCAATGAAAATGGTTCGGTAAGATTAATCACCGAAATGCTCTTACAATTATATATAATATTATGGGTCATCCACCCATATAACAAATTATTTGAGCAATGAAATATTCTTGAAACCAACACATATGCATTATCATATAACAAAATAATAAGTGTAGTTTTAAAAAATGAACTGATTACAAATTATGATACTGGAGACAAAATGAACTGATTACAAATTATGATACTGGAGACAAAATGAACTGATTACAAATTATGATACTGGAGACAAAATGAACTGATTACAAATTATGATACTAGAGACAAAATGACTTACCAATATCAGCCCTGATATCAATGACGATGTCCCTGTTAAAGCCACGTAGAATTTGGGTGTCAGGGTGTTCAGAAACATTGTAGCTGGAAAGAGAAAATAACAATTAAGTCATAAACTGACCTTTTATGTAAGTCGGTAAAGCTTGTTTCTTTTTTTATTTCTACACATCATTTGTACTGCTGTGTAAAATCAAGGAAGTAGCCTTTGTTTGTGCTTGGTTTATAGACCAGTGATCAGCCAGGACCATTTCAAATGTTTGACAATTAATCTTAAATTATTCAATATATTTATTAACCATGCCCTTCTGTTCCCTCAGTATCTTGTAGGATTTTTTAACATTTTATTTATAATCAAATTAGATATTGTTTCAAACACTTTGTTATACAAATTTGTTCCAGATGCCATGGACCTGATGACTTGTCGTATAACATCGTGTGAATATCACAGAGAAAATACATGCAGGTGACCAAGGATTAAAAAAAATATCTAAGTGGTTCTATTGTTATTAGGTAATAGTGACCTAGTTTCTGCCCTGATCACTTGATTTTGATTTTTGATTGAGACTTCAGAAATAATATATAAGTGATAATAAAAGTAAAATTACACTATCATGAATGGCAACGATAATCTTCTCTTGGTTTTTTGGTGGACAGATCACCAATACCTTGTACACTGCCATTTTACTGCCAGCGGGGCATGAAAATTATGATCACATAATATTCATGAATAAACAAATGTTGATACAGGTTTCTTTAATTCCTAATATGGCAATCTTGTGAATAAGTTTCAATGCTTTTTCTTTCCGTTTTTCAAACATAAATTCATTTTTATGAAAATTCTTCGGATTTTCCTTTTTTCATTCTAATCGTATAGTGCATGTTCCTCAGGGAATATATTTGATAGTACAACAAGAGATCCCAGAGGGATCTTGGCACCCCCCATTTGAGGATCTGTTTTCAGTTCTTGAAGATTTGTTTATTTTTTTTTTTTTGTGTTACAGGTTTTGTAAATGTTCATGATCTGGTCTTCATTGAATGTTCTCAATGATGGCACAAGATATTTTTATTGAGCACCTATTAGCAATATCATTTGAAAAAGATCCCAAAGTATTATTAGATAGCAGTCAGTTACAGGTGGATAATGGACTTGGTCTTGAATCAATATGATAGAATATCGAAGAAAATATGCTTGTGCTGTATTACTGTCGACATCCAAGATGGCTGCCTGTGGGCCACCTTGATTTCAAATCAGTCCAAAAGAGTACAATGCACAACTAGGGACCAAGGGAAACCAATACCTATGAAATATCAGAAGTATCCATCCAGTACTTCCTCAGAAATAGCGGTAACAAACTTTTACTTCCAAAAATCCGTGATGGCTGCCTGTCGGTCATCTTGAATTCAAATCAGTCCAAAAAAGGTACAGTGCACAACTAGGGACCAAGGGGAAACTGCATATGAAATTTGAGAAAGATCCATCCAGTTCTTTCCCAGAAATAGCAGTAAAAAACTTTTTCTTCTAAAATCCAAGATGGCTGCCTGTCGGTCATCTTGAATTCAAATCAGTCCAAAAAAGGTACAGTGCACAACTAGGGACCAAGGGGAAACTGCATATGAAATTTGAGAAAGATCCATCCAGTTCTTTCCCAGAAATAGCAGTAAAAAACTTTTTCTTCCAAAATCCAAGATGGCTGCCTGTCGGTCATCTTGAATTCAAATCAGTCCAAAAAAGGTACAGTGCACAACTAGGGACCAAGGGGAAACTGCATATGAAATTTGAGAAAGATCCATCCAGTTCTTTCCCAGAAATAGCAGTAAAAAACTTTTTCTTCCAAAATCCAAGATGGCTGCCTGTCGGTCATCTTGAATTCAAATCAGTCCAAAAAAGGTACAGTGCACAACTAGGGACCAAGGGGAAACTGCATATGAAATTTGAGAAAGATCCAATTAGTACTTTCCCAGAAATAGCGGTAACAAACTTTTACTTCCAAAATCCGTGATGGCTGCCTGTCAGTCATCTTGAATTCAAATCAGTCCAATAAAGGTACAATGCACAACTAGGGACCAAGGGGAAACTGCATATGAAATTTGAGAAAGATCCATCCAGTACTTTCCCAGTAATAGTGGTAACAAGAATTGTTTACGGACGGACAGACGGACGACGGACCACGGACGCAGGGCGATTTGAATACGCCACCATCTGATGATGGTGGGCTAAAAATATAGTAACACAATCCCTTGATCCAGGTATAATCTCACTATAATGTCAATTATTACTTTACAATGGGTGGTCGGGTGGCGCAGTGGTAATGCATGCACCTTTCACCTAGCCATTCAGGTTTCAATTCATGGTACAGACATGGAAAGGTAAGGGGTCACCTGCCCGATGATGTGGGTTTTCCCAAAGTACTCCCAGTTTCCTCCCACTATAAGACACCTTGTATGCTTACATGCAGGTCAACAAGAGTGATAAGTATAATTTGTATCAGTTGTTTCTCAATTGTTCTAAAATAAATAAAGTTTATAGAACTTTACAATGACGCATTTCCTGTGTTATTGTCAGATATAGTGCACACAAAACTTACAGAACTCACTGTAAATCTGACTTGTAGATATTAATGATTACAGAACTCACTGTAAATCTGACTTGTAGATATTAATGATTACAGAACTCACTGTAAATCTGACTTGTAGATATCAATGATCACAGAACTCACTGTAAATTTGACTCGTAGATATCAATGATCACAGAACTCACTGTAAATTTGACTCGTAGATATCAATGATTACAGAACTCACTGTAAATCTGACTTGTAGATATCAATGATTACAGAACTCACTGTAAATCTGACTTGTAGATATCAATGATTACAGAACTCACTGTAAATCTGACTCGTAGATATCAATGATTACAGAACTCACTGTAAATCTGACTCGTAGATATCAATGATTACAGAACTCACTGTAAATCTGACTCGTAGATATCAATGATTACAGAACTCACTGTAAATCTGACTCGTAGATATCAATGATTACAGAACTCACTGTAAATCTGACTCGTAGATATCAATGATTACAGAACTCACTGTAAATCTGACTCGTAGATATCAATGATTACAGAACTCACTGTAAATCTGACTCGTAGATATCAATGATTACAGAACTCACTGTAAATCTGACTTGTAGATATCAATGATTACAGAACTCACTGTAAATCTGACTCGTAGATATCAATGATTACAGAACTCACTGTAAATCTGACTCGTAGATATCAATGATTACAGAACTCACTGTAAATCTGACTCGTAGATATCAATGATTACAGAGTAACAATCTGACCACTTCTAATCAAAAGGATTTAAAAATAAAACTGTTGTTTACTTTCAAATTCCTTTTATCAGCATCTAAATATCAATGTACTCATTAATTTTCCCTTATTTTTATTTTTGCAGAACGTTTTGGATTTTGACAACATTTCAATAGAATTGCAGGAATTTTCTAACATACTCAATATTATCTGAAATGTATCCAGATAACATCATAGTATAGAAGACTGGATAAAAACATTCAACATTGACATTCAAATCTATGATATCATAGTATAGAAGTCTGGATAAAAACATTCAACATTGACATTCAAATCTATGATATCACATTTTTTATTGTAAGAGAAATTAGCATCATCTAATCAGACATTTAAATATGAAACTACCAATATGATGTCCAAATGTATTCTCACAGCCATCTATAATGAAACTCCAAGAAAATGGATGTCATAGACATAAGAGCTACCAAGCAGGTTACACAGTCGTAAAAAAATATAGTCATTTCACTAAACTGGATTATCATCCCAACCAGAAAACTGTCTTAGAAAATGCTTCATTATTTGTCATTCACGAAAGCATTTTGTAATGTAATGAGGAACAAAACGGAAATGAGCGAGGATGTTCAGCACTGAAGTAGTAGCGTCTATTGGACGGTATGGCTTGTGATATTGATTTATGTAGCGAGCTATAGGGATCGTGATAATGGACACAATCAATATACTTACTATCCCACATGGCTGTGTTATCCAACAGAGAAACACACGTGAATATAATCCTACCCTTGACGCGAGAATGTTTCAGAAATATTACGACGAATCTAAACAATTTCGTAAAACACTATTGTGGTATACATGTCTGTTCATTTAGACCTGAGCGGTGGCTAGTGAGCAGACATCATTCAACATCAGCAAGGTCCAGCAAGGACGTAGAAGGACAGTGAATACCACTTCCATATGACAGACTAGGGCTATCCGACCTGACTGGATACACAACAGCTCTGTGGCAGCATCATCATCAGCTCTAGTAGCGGAGGCGAGGAGACAGTCACAGCGGAGTCCCTCCACCACTGTCAAACACAGCTCCAAATACATAATAGCTAGTTCTATAGTCACTTCACATCTATATCCAAGGTAAATGTAATTATCTAAACATTTCACATACTCAATGTCTCAGCATATCATGTACTCAATGTCTCAGCATATCATGTACTCAATGTCTCAACACATCATGTACTCAATGTCTCAACACATCATGTACTCAATGTCTCAACACATCATGTACTCAATGTCTCAACACATCATGTACTCAATGTCTCAACACATCATGTACTCAATGTCTCAACACATCATGTACTCAATGTCTCAACACATCATGTACTCAATGTCTCAGCATATCATGTACTCAATGTCTCAACACATCATGTACTCAATGTCTCAACACATCATGTACTCAATGTCTCAACACATCATGTACTCAATGTCTCAACACATCATGTACTCAATGTCTCAGCATGTCATGTACTCAATGTCTCAACACATCTTGTATGCAATGTCTCTACATATCATGTAATCAATGTCTCAGCACATCATGTACTCAATGTCTTAACACATCATGTACTCAATGTCTCAACACATCATGTACTCAATGTCTCAACACTTCATGTACTCAATGTCTCAGCATGTCATGTACTCAATGTCTCAACACATCTTGTACGCAATGTCTCAACATATCATGTACTCAATGTCTCAGCACATCATG